TAAATGACACAACAGTATATCGCGAACTGAAAAACAATCCTACCACCAACTATCAAAATAAAAACGATAATTTAATGAAATCCTGGCTCACGAAAAAACTAATCAATGAAGACCATGGCAAACAGCTGAAAATCCATAATGCAAAGCCCCCAAAAATATAATTATGGTTTACCCAAATTACAAATATTATATCACAAATAACTGGTAAAAATGAATATCACATTGAAGATCCATTTTCCTTCGAAGAATTCATCGATACTGTACACATACCAGTTAACTACTTAATCATTTCACTAGATGTTATTTCACTGTTCAGGGGGTCCCAAATTGCTTGATTTTGGCAGTTTTCCCTATTTCCAGACCAGGTAGAGAAAAACTGACCTAAGGTTCTAGAGCTTGATTTTCGTGAAACGTCGATTGGTGAAAACCGCATTTCGATATCTCAAACCGTTTCCGAAATGTAGGCAATAATTGACATTTGACTGATTTCGAAAAATTGACATAACTTCTTCATTTTTGGATATTTTTCCAAACGGTGAAAACTTTCTATAGACACTTTATGATGTAGAATAAGATGCATATGTCAAAAAAAATATATCGCGTATCAAATGTCTGATATCATAGCCAACTTCGTTATTTCAAATAGAAACCATAGTTGGCTTTGACTTCATAAAATCGGAAAAAAAAAAGCTTTCCAAAAATATATATGTTAATATATTTCTAGTCATCCTTGCTGTTGATATAACGTATTTATCTTTGGAAATCACAATTTGTTGACATCTCAACTTAGTAAGCCATGGAAAGCAAGAGTTGTTTTGCTCATCTGTCAGTTCGACAATGAATGAAATATCTGAAAGCTGTCACGCCTGTCACCTGCTTGCATCAAAATGTTTGAGAACCTTGAGAAATGCCAGATGTTTATTTGCTTCATTGAATCAGGCCGAAATAATGAAGCTGCAAGAAATTTATATTTCGAACGATACCCTGAACGCCAGCAGCCTAGCACCCAAATATTTGATAGATTGGAAACTAGCCTGATGCATCATGGATCATTCGTCAAGCCCAGATCTAGACAGTATGCCGTTGAAGGTAGAGACGAAGTAGAGGCAGGAGAAATTGGAGCGGTTTTAGAGAATCCTGAAGTTTCCACCAGAGAAATAGAAGTAACTATGGGTGTGAGCAGAAGCCGAACCCAAAGGATTCTCAAGAAACATAAATTCAAACCTTATGAAGTCAGGCTCACACATCAATTATTTCCTGGTGATCAAGAACGCAGAATCAACTTCTGCAACTGGTTTATAAGGAGTTGCAATGAAACTGAAAATTTCCTACGAAATGTTATTGACTTGCCTCTTGCCGATTCGATAAGAAAGTTTTATCAACAAGATGACGCACCGGACCATAACGCGGCGGTAACAATTAACAAACTGAATCAAATGTTCGGGAATCAGTGGATGGGAACACGGAGCCCCGTACCATGGCCTGCAAGATCCCCGGACCTAAGTCCTTTGAACTTTTTTATCTGGGGTTTCGTCAAAGACCAAATATTCAAAACCATACCAGGAACGCGTCAAGAATTAGAGCAAAGAGTGAGGAATGCCATCGCTCGAATAACACCATTACAACTCTTAAACGCCGAGAAATCAGTGAAGAAGAGATGACATCTATGTCTTGACCGAAATGGTGGACAATTCGAACACTATTTGTGATAAGCTCAATGAACCGTTGGAGATTTATTGTTACCTACTGAATTAAATATTTTGTTGAACAATTCAATATTGCTACTTTCTTATTCAATTACTTGTTTTTTATCACTTCATTATCATATAATTATTGATTTGACAAAAAACTCTTGCTTTCCATGGCTTACTAAGTTGAGATGTCACCAAATTGTGTTTTTCAAAGATAAATACGTTATATCAACAGCAAGGATGACTAGAAATATATTAAAATATATATTTTTGGAAAGCTTATTTTTTTTCCGATTTTATGATCAAAGCCAACTATGGTTTCTATTTGAAATAACGAAGTTGGCTATGATATCAGACAATTGATAAGCGATATATTTTTTTTGACATATGCATCTTATTCTACATTATAAAGTGTCTCTAGGAAGTTTTCACCGTTTGAAAAATATCCAAAAATGAAGAAGTTAAGTCAATTTTTCGAAATCAGTCATATGTCAATTATTGCCTATATCTCGAAAACGGTTTGAGATATCGAAATGCGGATTTCACCAATCGACGTTTCACGAAAATCAAGCTCTAGAAACCTAGGTCAGTTTTCCTCTACCTGGTCTGTAAAAAAGGGGAAACTGCCAAAATCAAGCAATTTGGGACACCCTGTACACTTATATCCCAAATAACCTAATCACAGATATAATAAAAATCAAATGGAACGAATTGAAAGAATTTACAACATTACCAATGGAAGAATTCACAAAAGCCATAGATTTAACATTAAACACAAAGTTTTTCCAGTACAAAGAGGATTTTTATCAACAAATTGATGGTGTTGCTATGGGATCTCTCATCTCTAGCACCATTGCCCAATTAATAATGGAAAACTGAGAAAAAAATTTCATTAAAGAATTCAAATTCCCAATACCATTTTTCAAAAGATATGTAGATGAATGCTCACTTGCAATACCACAAAATGAACTAACAAATCTACTCAAAGAATGCAATCCCTTCAATCCAAAATTACAATCCACTATAGAACAAGAAGTCAATAATGGTATCAACTTCCTAGATTGAACATTAATCAAAAAAATTGAAATCCTTACTGAATGGTATACAAAAGACACTAGGCCTGGCAGATACATGAATTTTAATTCACAACACCCTTTATCACACAAAAAAAGTGTTATCACAGGCTTGTTTGATAGAGCTATCATTTCAACCCATCCACAATACAGAGAACAAACACTCAAAAAAGTTGAAGACACCTTGACGAACAATAATTATCCCTTGAATTCAATAAACGTAATTATAAAACATAGAGTACACAGATTATGTTGTATAAATCAAAATATAAAAAACAGGAAGAACTCAACCCACTAAATACAATATCCATTCCATACACTGATGGCTTATCTATCATATGTGTTGAATGCAGGTTATGCTAGATGATTGAAATGGTGTCTTATAGAATCTGACTTACTTAGTACGAGTATTGGGATAGCTTTCGTAGAATTTCGAACATTAATTCCTGCTAGGTATATATCCGACATAGATTTTTTTTCTAAGGAGAGAATCGAAGAGCCTACCAAAAAACCGACTTGTCAATATTAGAAGAAGGTGTTGAAATGCAATGATGTACCTTTGCAGGATATAAGGCGCTTCCACCAATCATTCTACTCTTATCAAGATAAAATTTCGCAAGATAATCTGATATTGAAATACACTTCTCAAAAAAACCCAAAACGTAGACGCCCTAGTGCAAGAGGAGGTTCTCAAAAGGTAGTAACCATAACGTATTACATCAAATCATAATCTCTAGGTGTAGTGCAGATTCGTGGCAAGGCATTCCTAGATATTCTTGGAATATCTAAATTTAGGGTGCAAAATATTTGTAAACAACATCACTCAACTGGAGAAACTGCTGAAGAAAATCGTGGGGGTGATACTTAGTCAGCAAAATAGTTGGGAGGAAAAAATGAAGTAAGAAAATGTATCCATTCCCTTGAGTGCGTCGAATCTCATTATACACGCGGGCAAAGTGAAAGGCAATACTTCCCTAGTGACTGTTTTGTGCACAAATCATGGAAGTCATATAATAGTAAAGTCGAGGCACACAATCAAGTAGATTTTAATTCTTTTTGGGGATATTTCTATGTCAGTTTCAAAACACCAGTTCCACTTCTCGAAGGCCAAGAAAAAGCCGACACAATGGCAAAATACACTGCCCATGAAATTAAGGCGAAGGCTTTCCATGAAAAACTCAGGAAAGAGAATCCTGCAACTTTCAAATTTTCATTTGACTGTAAGAAAAATCTCGTGTTACCAAAAGTTCCGGACCAGATTGCGTATTACTCTCGGCAATGGGCTTATATCACAAAAAAATTTGATTTCATGATTCGAAAGAACTCACCCAAACTAGCTCACCACCGCAAACCGTTTCCTACGTTTTATAAAAAATTATTGAAATCCCTGATTTTTCGGACCTCTCAAAACGAGGCGATGATGTGACGTCAAAACCCTGATACTGATACAAGACTATTCCAGACGGAGATGAATGATACATGATTTCTGACTGAGTGAGTGAATTAGCGCGAGATCACAGTTGAAAGAATCAATATATCAGTTGCCTCAGTCTCCGTCGGGCTTGGTATTTTCTTCAAACTATGGCGAGATGAGGTTCCTACGTCATGAGGGCAGGGTCCGTTTTCAGAAGGTACCTACTATTATTTATGTCTAAAAATAAAACATTCCAATTAATTTTTCGATCGAATTATGTCGTCAATCATTATTAATGTATAAAAGGATCATTAAAAACATGGTTTGAGTTAAAAGATCTACTAAGGTGCACAAGCCCATTATACCGGTACAATATGACTATTTGTGAAGGACACTCGAAGAATGTACAAAATAGAGAAACTGTGACTATTTTAACTTGGTTAGAAAGTGAACGCCAGAAAGGTTCGAATGAAATATCTTTCATGGTCTTTCATCTACTCTGCAGTAAAAATTCAGATCAATATGATACCATACAGATTTTTTCGGACGGCTGCCCACGCCAAAACAAAAATATCACAATGATTGGTATGTTGGCTAAATGGCATCAAGAACAATCTTTTAAAAATATTTAGTCACTTGAGTTCATATTTCCGATTGTAGGCCATTCGTTTATACCACCAGACAAAGTATTCGGACGAATTGAAAAAGAGCTCAAACGCAAGGATACCATGATTGACTTGACTTGGCGAAGATGTTTCTGTATTTGATTCAAAATCTTGTGTATCTGCAAATATCAAGTCTCCTGATCAGTTACATTTTCAGTTTGCTCCAGCTAATAGATCAAAATTGTTTAGAGCTAGGAACACCATTCTACTGAAAGGAGAAACAACTCACAAAAGTGATTTGGGTGTCTTCAAACCGTTCCTAAACAAAGGTAGAAGTTTCCATTTCAAACCTTATCTGCTTACACTGCAAGTTCCGGTGAAGAAGGAGAAACTGCAAGATGTCAATAAACTCCTCAAACATCATTTCGGAGAGAATTGGATAGAGCTTAGTGAATTGGATTTTTATAAGAACCCACTTTCTAGACCAGTCGCAGACCAGGTTCAAAAAGAAACGGGAGGTATTCTGGATATTCCATCAGAGTAAGGTGATGAACTGTCAATATGATCTGATCAAATCTGAATTCGTGGTTTGAATTTTATTTCCAAAACTCTCTTAATCCTGTGGTTTTCGTTCCATAACTGTTCTCATCCGTTAATTTGCAACAAAACTGTTCTTATCCAATTTTATTTGTTCAATAAAAAATACAATTATGCGTGAATTTATTTTTGCTTCTGTGAAATAATTGAGTATAATGCCTTTGTTACCTGAATACAAAAAATTGATAATGAATATCAGTTAATTAAGTTGGTGTTCGTTTTTCGCGTTTATTCAAAAACAACGAATTTGGATATAACTAGTTTTATATATTCTATTCCATGCAATGACTGCAATTGAGCGTATATCGACATGACAACACAATACTTAGAAAACAGATTGAAAGGACATCACTACAACAAACAAAACCTAACAGCTCTAACTAAACATCTAATGGATAATGACCATACAACTTCCCTCGACAATGTCAAAATTTTTGATTATGTAAGTAACAACGACAAGAGATGCATAAAAGAAATGATATATATTAAAAAATACACTAACTCGACGACAGAACAGATATTAGTAATCTGAGCAGTATCTATCAGACTATTCTATAACCACAAGTCCACTTATTCAAAAAAAAAAATTTTCAAATTTTTCAATACTGCATTCACAACTGCCAAAATTCATGAAACACTGTGTGTTATCAATATTGAAATAACAACAAAAAAGAAGAAGAAAACTCTCACCTGACATATGATTCTATAATTGTTCCATGTCATTCTTGTTATCTTTCATTAATGTCAGTCAAATGTCTTTTACATAGTCATGACAAACAGTTCGAAATCAACCTCAACAAATTGTAGTTTCCCTCGGTTTTGAAGAATGAAAAATGAAAAGGAACAGTATGTTCGGATGAAAATGTCCACAAGAACACCACAATCACCAGAATATGAATTGGTTGAGGTACGTATCTCTCTTTTTTTGATTTAGGTCTCATCACTATCACTCCACAATGTAAACCATTACTTACAGAGCTAAATATTGATAAATTGACAAAGCCCATGGCCATGGGCGAAACGTTCTTCTACTCAATGCTTTCAATTTATTGATGAAACCGAATCCAAACCCCAAGAAAAAGCTGCAAATCAAAAACATAACAGGATTCCAGAAAATACCCTAAGAAACAAATAAAATGAATAATGGGCTAACTGTGGAATGAGTATTACTCGCCAAAAGTATTGAGAAAAAAAATGTAAGTATAAAAGAAACGAATAGTGGAGATGCATGGATAGACAATAATTCACTGAAAACAATATCGTACAAAAACCAATGTGAAAAAAATATAGTTGAGAGGCATGAATGTACAGGAAATTTCAGGTTAAATGGAAGTATGTTGGAAGCTATCATTGGGAAATGATATAATTTTAATGACTAAAAGTACTGATTGAAGACAATACATAAAAAGGAATGAGGTGTAAATGTCAAAGTATAAAGAGGATAGAGTCACGATAGCAGATAATATTGAGTGAACAAATATAGAATTACGAGGATAAGACTGAAGTGGTGTAGTCAATTGTTCTAACGTTACTGTAGACTGTGTAGAGCGATGCATGAACTCGACAATCATTAGTAAGTTATAGTCAGAAATAATGATAATGAGCGGTTGTAGTGGAGATTGTTATATTTGGCATTGATTGTTACAATTGTTCAGCGAATAGGTAGAAACACCATCAGTGTAGGGAATCTTGTATGTGTTCTGACGTCGAATAATTGTTGTAGAATATTGCTTGCCGAAGAAGAAAGAAGAAAGAAGAAGAAGGAAAATGGAGAAAGTATGCAAATGGTTACTTCATATAACTATCCTTACTCTTGCTCTGAGCAAGCTACAGACGACTGGAGGACTCAACGCCTAGGATTGTGCAGACACCAAAGCTAATGCCACCGCGATATATATCACTAAAAGACATTAGAACGTGTTCACCACCGGAAATATCGTATGACAGTAAAAACGTGACGGTTCAAGTTATACAGGGAAATGAATTCAACATGCAAAAAGCACGGACTTGCCTAGTTGACATCTCCAGAATTATATTCTACTGTGGAATGCACAGCCACACATCAATAGTGGATGGTGGACTAAACAGTTACATTGAAAAACTTGGAGCAGAAGAATGCAACAATATGCATAGATACAGGACAGTACAATTGTATCAAAAAACAATTGGAAACATACCTATGAACGGAACCACAACCACATCGGTAACTCTTCACGGCCACGAAGAGGACACCGGAGCATGTGAAGGGAAAATGAGAGAACATGGAGAGATGTAGTTGTCATAGCATTAGTGAAAATCCGAGCATCTGACTACCATGCGACTGTAAGTTTGGATGATAACAAAATACACCTGAAAGAAGAAGTGACATGCCAATTCACAGAAGGCTACTGCTTCGACTCATCATTAGGAGAAACAACTTGGGACAAATACGAACCACCATCTTGCGAAAACCACCTGAGCCAACGATACAAAAGTATCGGGGAGAAGATCACCAATAAACAGACGAAAGAAGAAGTAGTCATCGTCGATCAAGGATCCAAGTTATTTGCACTGACTCTGCAGAAAAGAGCACACAAGTGTGGAATGAGAACATGATAAACGGAACATCTTAGGCAATTGATAAACTTCGTAAAACAAAACCACAGAATACAACCACAAATGCCCGTCCTACCACAAAATGTTGACTTGTTGAGCTATGTGAACAGCAAATTCCTATACATAGAGCAAGCATACCAACGACAGCTAGAAAGGTTATACATAGACACAGTACACAAAAGATGCCCAACAAAGAGAGGAATACTGAAGAACCGATTACTGATGGCACCGTAACTACCAAACGCAGTGAGCCAATTGATGCAACACACACCAGGATACACAGGACGAGTACTAGGTGAGGTTCTATACATCATGCAATGTATCCCCAAATCTGTAACCATCAGAAGAACTAATAGCTACCATGAGCTACCAATAACCATAGGCAACCAGTCGAAATTTATGGCACCAATAACGAAGATTGATCAAGAATATGCAGAGGAACTTGACCGCAACAATCTAATCCCCCCACTTTACTTCATAGACGAACAGTGGATCGGACTAATACCAATGCCAACCAGAATGATCCCACCAAAGGAAGTCTTAGTAGAATTCGAGGAATTAATGACCTCATCTCCCCCACGACCCATAGGCTCAGAAGTTTTATATACCCAGGAAGAAATAAAGGAGGTCCGAAGGACTCTCGACGCAGAAAGAAGAGCTGTAGAGAACATTATTACCAGAAAGACCGCAGGTTTGCAAGCATCAGGTCAAGAATATGCAATGATCAATATTTTCAACGAAGAGGAAATAAAACATTTTTGACATTCTACAAAGTAATTTATATGGGGTTGGTTCTCGAACATAGGAATATCCACGAGCGGACTCATTGGATTTTATTCCATATACAAAGTCATCCAATACATATGTGGGGTGAAAATAAATAGCCTATGGATATACCAGACGTAAGGATGTTCAGTCCACATATTAGCCAGTATCTGGACAAGTCTGACATCATGGGTCTTACATCAAGGCCAGAGAAAAAGAAGCAGTGAAGAAGAGGTGCAGTTATCACAGCAAATCAGTTAACAAGAAGGAATAATCAACGAAGGCTTGCAACAAGACCATTGGACGCGTTCGCAAGCCATCGTGGACAATCCGAGATTAACATGAACAATAAACGCGTGCGTGATAGACATTCTCAGTAGTGCACGGACCTTAGAGTTACCAGAATAGTGCGAAATATCACGCGAGGACTAAGTAAATATCATCCGAATATTGTACTCGACCATTTTGCTTAGCAGTAAGCAACCACAATTCTTTCAGTCCCTGATTCATAAGTTGACTCCCAATCCAGAAGTTGCCCAGGCAAAAATATTCATCTCTTCATATAATATTCCAGGAGCAATGGAATATATATCCAAAGCCCATATCTCTCTGAGGCCGAAGCAATTAGCACAACTCTTCTTATATAAGTTATGAGCAAACATGTCAACTCCAAACCATTGCTCCTAGCAACATGCAGTGACAACCTTTAGTGAACAGAAGGACAACTGGGATAGCGAGAAGACAGAGCAAATCAAATATATGGAAATAAGGGTTAGCTATGTTGATCACGAGGAGAAAGGAAGCATACCGATCAGCTATAACACAAGTGCTTAGTGTATTATTGGATTCGCGTATGTAATTTGTGCTAACGGAGCAATCGAGTCTCCTCAGTTATCAAAAGTAATTATAAGTAATTCAAAAACGAAAATGTTGAAGAATCGAAGAGAAATTTGTATATGTGTCGTAGTTAGGTATTTAGAGGAAATGAGTATGGAAAAAGAATTAGACAGGTAAATCCAATACTCTTTCGAAGAGGGTGGAATTATAATATCCTGGGGTATAGAAAGAAAAGTTAAAACCTGGTTCATGGATTTTATGATAGATACTATCAAATAAATTGCTTGATGAATAAAAACAATGATTTCCATAGCTAAACAGTTCGCATTATCAACCCAATTGAATAATGTAAATTTGCCAGTTCGGCAAGTTTCGATTTTTGGAAGCTTCAGCTGACGCAATGCTATTCCAAAGAAATTGTTGAGACAGAAAAACGAGGAATAACTAGAACAGTCAGCAACCAGATTTTAGGAAATCAAGTCGGTTTGGCCGAGTGAATCGCGAAGTGGTCGCGTTACGGAAAGGTCAGTATAAAAAGCGGCAAAACGATTTCTTTAGCATGAGGGTAGTTTTCGCGCGTTTGAATCCAGGAGTGTCTCGAGATCCAGAAACAAATTGAGACGACGAATCGGTAAGTCTCTTATCCATCGTTTTGACTTATACTCTGGGGTTGCATTTGATTTTCTGATCAGATTCTTCTATATGCACTATCTACCAGAATCTGTTCGTACGTAGCAACCCTACACCGGGTAGTTTTGAGCACTGGTACATATAAACGGCATATGACCCTTTTTCTTGGTGCAATTGATGACAAGGTTTATCTCACGATATCGAAAACTGTCACGTTTATATTGGCCAGGAAAAAATCAAAATCTTCCTGTTATCCACTGCCCGGTTTTAGAATAATCTAGTGAAAGGTCAAATTAGCCATTTGTACGCTGCATGTACTTAAGAATAATCTTTTTTTTGTATCTCAATTGGGGAACTTACGAGAGTACGAACGTTCGAATCCACTAGAGCCTTCAAGACGCAGGAAACCGCAGCCGTGACTGTATCAAGGAACTGGAGGGTAGCAGATTGGTACATAACACTCGTAGTATAAAGGAACCCCTTCATATATTTCGTTTGGTGAAGGTTAGGTATCACAGATAATGATTATAGTGATTATAAAAATGTTGATGAGATAGTTGTAGTAACAAAAATAACGAGGAAAAATCTGACTCAAACTTTGAGGAAACGTTTGATATACCAGAAATTCGACGACTGAAAATTGATCCGAAGTGAACGTTGAAATATATTTTTCCATCAACTTGTTTGAACGTTTAATGTCACGTTGATTGTTTGTGAAAAATTTCGTTGAGAACCAGGCAGTTTCGAACGGATATTGACGTCAAAATAAGTAAATGAACTGGTTAAAAATAACGTGGATAACAGCGACATTCTCGCGTCGATTCAACGTGATCAAAAAATGTCATTGAACGTTATTTCATCCGACCGTTGAGGTAATTTTACTACGTTATTTCGACGTGAGTGGAATAACTCTGAATTATTGACTGATGAGAATCTATTGTTATACAGTGAGTATACGTGAAGTTCGGAATTAATTCATTGGGAGGTTGATGTAGCCAATGGAAACTGATTTCAGACACGTCAATTTTTTTTTTCAGTTTGAAACACAAGAAATGCGTTGTTTTCAAGGGTATCATTAAAATAATGAGGTATTGTCATTAAAATTGAATGAACTCGAGCAGTTATGACGTCATCAAGAATATGAGTAGACCAAAGAATGCGCACAAGTTAAGAATGAACATCTAGGTGTTTATTTTTTCCTTGATTTTGTTTCTCAACGCGAAAACGTCGCTGACATCCACGATATTTTCAACCAGTAATAAAATGTATTTTCAACTACTAATTTCAACGGCAATATCCGTTTGGAACCAGTGGAAACTGCGAGGAACTCAACGAAATTTTTCACGGGAAATCAACGTTTCAACAAGTTGAAAAAAAAAATATATTTCAACGTTCACTCCGGTTCAATTTTCAATCGTGAAGTTCTTGGTTTTTCGAACGTTTCTTCAACATTTTAGTCAGATTATTTTCCGTTATTCATGTGTCTACAATTATTTTATCAACATTCTTATAATTACTACAATTATTATTATACCGTAGTAACATGACTATGTTGTCCATGTATTTCTGTTCCTCAGATGTTCCACTTTCTTCTTAGTGAGGTGCTTATCCCTACGTATCCCCATTTGGGCCAACTTTTGATATAAAAGGATGAAAGTATTGAAAAGTCAAACACATTTGCTATCGGCAGCTGTACATCGGAGAACAGACAAGTGAGTTCGAATTATAGGCTAGATGGTGAAGAAAATGTAAGTTCTTGGACGCCACCCAATTTATAAAAATCCTACGATTTATATAATTCAGAAAACCAAATTTCTTTTCGAATAATCTATTTTTCAAAATCTAAAAATGGTTCAAGGTGTATTTTCTTAGAAGGCTGGGCTGGAGATATGGAAGAATGAAAACCAACATAAAATTCAAGACCTTTATTTCACACCACCAGAGACAAGGTTATATATGGACCTATGTAGAGGCCTGCTGTTTCATGATGAAAAATAATCACTGAAGTACTGTATCATTGCAATAGTGTAGGTTGAGTAAATTGCATGGTGATTCTATCATAATTTTTCTACCTTTACCAGGACAATCACCATAGTTTTAGAATAAGTGAAAATAAGTATAGTAACAATTCTTTTTCAACTATAAAACGGAATGTATAACTAGTCAAGGAATGATAGCGCAATGAACTGTTAAGCAACCGCAGTTACATAGTATACTATGGGAGAGCTTCACAAGAGCTTCACCAGTTTGTGAATTAATACCGTAAAAAAGGTGATTACTCAACCAGTCCCAGATGTGGAATTCATATGTATATTATATGTAGCAAAATGTGAAACACTGAAGGTGGAACAAAAAAACCCGATAGTGGTCCAAGGGTCCTCCGCAATGGTCCAGATCACCCCCATCCAAGGTTCCAAGTGGTATGAATGTAGATGTGCAGCATAGGTCACAGCAGGTGAAGACAACACAAACGAGGAATAATGAACCTCCATGGTCAGCAGAGTTCCAGGATGCAGTATAACCAGGGGTCAGTCTCTACCAGCTGCTACTGGGCTCCATCTGGTGTCTCCATGGTCGACTCTGGCCAAGATCCGAAGACCTTGCAGGATTACTCAGATCCACTGGGGGATCTTGACAAGGGTAGAGTAGAGTATCCTGAGGGCCGGTCGCTACCAGGAGTCCGAAGCACAGCTAAGCTGCACCCTAGCACCCTATGAAATAACCTGAATATAGCCTCCTGAGAGGGCACACAGAGCACGTGAAGACAACAGAAAAAAACTTTCTTTAATCTTCTCCTGAAGATGCTAACATAGTTAGCGAAACACGTGTCGAGGCGTTAAAAAATCGGTTTGGTTAGTGGTAAAACAGTGTAGTGTATTATCGTGCCAAAGGTTGCAGTCTTCGATATATAAGGTGAGGTCATAATCAGTAGGTAAGGTCATAATTGGTAGGTCAAATCCATCATCCACAGGACTATATAAAGTCTAAGTTGTACTATTTACAAAAAAAATATTTACATAAGTGGCAATGATGATGTTCAGGTTGATCAGACCTATGAATCATCAAAAAAAAAAAAAAACTATTTTTGAGAATGCATACTCTCAGTAGAACACTAAATCCAATATTAGGTTTTATACTGAAAACCCCAAAATAAAAAGAAAACCACCCAAGGTTTCTTTCAAAATTGCACCAAAATCTCAAATTTGCACCAACGCACCAACAAAATTTCAAATTTGCACCAACGCACCAAAAAAATAAATTTTCAAATGTGCACCAACGCACCAAAACAATTTCACAAGAATCTTATTTTCAAACAACCTCTACAGATAATACTGTATACAAATCAAAGGTTCTGGTTTGTATAAAAATAAAATATCTATCCAACAGAAACGTCTGAATTGGATCCAAAATATTTCTTTAAATCTTTGATATGCCAATCTCCAGCAGGAGAACCATCAGCATTATCTGAAGAATAGACTAAACGAGAAATTCTTCTCCTCACTGTACACAAAACATATTTGGGAGCTAAT